AACCTTTCCTTACATACCTAAGTTTTTCTCGGTAAGTTTTTCTCTTTTTTTTAAAAAAATTTTATTTTATATATTGAATTTCCAAAAATAGAACCTTGAGAGCTTATAATATATCTCCTCTAAAAAAAAATTATTTAGCCTACCCCTATAAAAATTCCTGGGTCCACCATGGCATACCTTCACTGTAGGTATGTGCCAAGTCAACTATTTTCCACCCCATATTGAACACTCAAACTACCTCCATTATAGACACATGAATCTAACCGAAAAAAAAAAAGTTGAATACTTCATAGCAAACCTAACGGAAAAAAAAAAAGAAAAAAAAAAGAAAAAAAAGACTGTAACACAAGTAATTCAATCCTAATTTGGAATTTGTGAAAATCTTCATTAAGGAAGTAAAAAATCAGCAGAGATTGGGATGGAATGACCATGATTATAGGAGACATGCAGATCTTTGGAAGGGGTCGGTTTAATTTGCCTTTTCTATTTAATGGCACTAGAAGTAAATATCATAAAAAGGGATGGACAAAGGCATTCCTTACGTGTCCATTGGATTGTTTGGTGGACTGCTATTGAGGAGCCAAAATTGATGTCCTTCATCCATTGTATCTGAATGAAAATGGACCTATATCAAATAACCCCAAAGAAAAAAGGACAATAATGGTGAAGTTCAATTACCGGGCACGCACATGCGCAAGCCAAGGAGATGCAGACCAACAAACCGGAGTAAATGTTGTACCAGCACAGACTGACACAGACAGCTGTTGGGTCTGCATCAAATCCTGTAATCATTTTCTCCCTGGAAGTGAAAGGTAATGAAAATGGTGCTTGTTGCACTTCCCCTTCCTTACCCATGGGAAAAACCTTAAAGCAATTCTGGGTCTGGTCCTAATCTCAACAAGGACTCGTACAAACAACCCAGGGTCAATAAATAACAGCTTGGAAATGATCAGAGGAGTGCTTGATGTTACAAAAAGCTCAGGATTTTTCTTCAATGGTGTAAAAAATAAGGAATGGATTTCAGAGAGAGTTTTGGTGGCTAGTGAAGTAGTTGAAGGGAAGTTGTGGAAAGAACCAGAGAGGGGAAAAAGAAGGCGTACCTTGAGAGAGCAAGAGGATGGCAGCTAAAGCTTTTGAAGCTGTGGCGCAGAGTGCCATTGCATTTGAGTGGAGAGGGGTTTGGTAAATAGTGGAAGCTCAGAGATGGGTTGTGGGTTGTGGGTTTTAGGTTTTGGGTTTTGAGAGACAGAGAGTGGAAGCAGCCGTTTCTGTTGCCTCTCTATATTCCAGACCCAAGCCCAAACTAGTGCTAAGTTGACTACTGTGGCTGAAATCAACTTCATAATTACCCAATGCAACCAAGCTCAGTGAAGGTAATATTTTTATGTATGCATTCCATGCATTATAGTGTTCTCCTGCATGCATCGTTTGTTGTCATATATGTAATTCTTCTTAGCTCATCTTTATTAGAATTTAGGACTTGGGTATTTGCTAGAAAGTTGAAGTACATAGAAGAACTTATGAGGCTACAAAACCAAGATAATTTGTGCATTCATTTATAATGGGCATCATTAGGAAAATCAGCATCTGCATAAATTTTTGTACTACAACATTCGTATACATAATGTTTCACGATAATTAATTTTCATCCATGTACAACAGTTCTCCACTCGTCAATGTTGCGGAGAATTTGAAAGTTTTTGTGAGACCAAAATATGACAGGAAGTATTTACATAAAATGGTGAAGGAAAAATTAGGAGACCAACATTTGCGCGACACATTAACTAACGTTGTAATCCCAACTTTTGATATAAAGCAGCTGCAACCAGTTATCTTCTCCACTATCAGGTTTGTTTATTAATTATCTCTTAATTGAAACACATGCATATATTTACATAATTTATTTTAATGGTGCTCTTTTTATGAACATTTCTTGATTTTGTATATATATGTTTGTCATGATTTTAGATGAAAAAGAACCCCAACTTAGATGCTTTGCTCTCTGATATATGCATTGGAACTTCAGCACCCCCATGCTACCTTCCAACTTATCAATTTATATCCACAAATTCAAATGGTGAATCAAGAGAATTCAATCTCACCAACGGTGGAGTTGCTGCCAACAACCCATTATACATTGATCAGAAAAATCTAATTTGCATAATCTGAATTATTTCATATATATGATCATCATTAATATGTGTGTATTGTTGGAAAATTTGGTTGATGATGCTACTTTTCCTGCAAAACATCATATGAAATAATCATTAGAAAATTATAATTTACATTGATAGAGTAGATTAAATAAAACCAATGAAATTACAGCAAAATACTTATTTTTTGGGATGTAGAAGTTGGTCTCTATTGATACTTGAGTAGAATAATAGTTTTAGGTTGAGGCGTGTAGTCATTGTCCTTAAAAATAGATTTTGCCTCTCGAAGACAACGTCTCGGTGTAGTAAGGTTGTATGGCGGCCTACCCTCCAGGATACAACAACCTATGACCCTCATATGCATACACTCGCAATACTTGGATCGGATAAACAACTCGAATCTTTCCCTTGATAAAAGAAAACAAATTGGAACACAAACTTAAAAATATGAAGGAGAAAATAATGAAGAAAGGTACCGATGTTGCTCCAACGTTTTTCTCATACTCCAAAATAAGGCCTTTTATAGTTGGTTGCTTCTCAAAGGCATTAAACCAATTGTAATAAAACACATTAAAAGTTTTGCCCAATTTTCAGAAATTAATAGCTATAAAATTCTAATGTTAGTTGGCAAAACCAATATAGCAAATGCAAAATAGAAATTGGTCAACCAAAACTGACGCAAATAATTTTTGGACTCAAATCTTTAAATGCCAACGACATAGAAATGATATTAAAAGCAATTATCAGACCACAACAATAACACGAAATTAAAACCCAATCAAATGGATATTAACACTTATATAATATAATAAATTCATAACTGTACAATTCATATATATATATAATAAATACACAAAATAATTTCAGTTTTAAAGAGGAAAACAAACCAAACAATCTGGAAAATTAAATTCAACATAATTAAGTAATGAAATTTCTTTTTGTAATTTGAAATACTCACAAAAATTCCAACAATCCCCACATATTTCAAAATACAAAGGTAAAGGATTTCAAGGGAAAGTGAGAACTGAATGCATCAGAACTGGTGTCTTTTGAATTATGAACCAGTCTTTGGATGAGTTAGTTGTATCTTACAAAAATTTGGTGAAAATAAAATTTTATATGAACCAAGATTTCTTTGTATGAAAAGGACTGACCACCCACATTAAATTCTCCGATTCAAGTTTATTCAAGCAGGTTCGTGCGAATAGGCCATGCACCGACCTGGATATTCATCAGTGCTCTAGAGAGCATGTTTGAGCTCTCATAGAAAGCTGCCCCACTTCCACACTCATATAGGTGAATCCATAAGGAGTGCACTGCAATCAAGCACCCCACCCATAAGGTCTATGGTATTCATTAAGAAATAAGTTCAACCTTAAACGTTGCAGTATTGCACTATCTACACCATAGGGAGGACTCTCAAGAATATAAATTGATAGTGGACGCCCAATCACCCAATGACTTGTTCTTACCCATATGAATATACTTTTTGGGATCTCCATTCACATAAATTGGGTTACCATCACTTTTGACTGATGATATAGACATAAGTCCCATCCCCCTCGATGTATTACTCACTAGCTTTCGGCGTAGTGGTTTTGTCAGAGGATCAGCCAAGTTCATCTATGACCTAACAAAAACTAGGGATATCAGTCTCAAGCATATATGCTTTTTTTTCCCCATTATAATATCTATTTGAGTTCAGGCTATTTGCAGCATGAATATCACAATGCATAGACACAGGCAAAGCTAGTCTCTTCCATAAAGGGATATCTAACATGATTTTCTCATAATGCATAGACACTTCAAAGTTGGTCTCTTCCATTAAGGGGTATAGCCAAGAGGTTTTTAAGCTACTTGGCCTCAAATTCATCCTGCATGTCTATTAGAAATATTTTCTACAACATTGCACACAAATGATTAGTAGATTTCTTCTCAATATAATTAGAGATTTCATATGTATCGGTATACATTAAAGTATAACGGAAATTCATCATATATCAAATCTTATGATGAAGAGTACCTCTCAATTCTTTGGTACTCAGTTATGAGCCACAAGACTTTGAGTGCGCCTGTTGAACCTCTCAACTATTTTGGTACTCAAATATGAGTCTACAACAATCTATGAAATTTGAGTGCACCTGCTGAAGCTATGAACAACAAAATAACAATTAATTCATTAAATAAATTTAATAAATAATGAGTACTTCACGATACTCTTACTCTTTTTTTGTGCACTCCAAATGGCTGAAATCATGATCGCATATCCAAGTTGTCATTGTATCTTCTCAATTCTCAATAGGAACCTCTTTAAGACAATAAAAAGTCTCCACCAAAATTTTTATATCAAGACCATCACAACTCACACCCATTTTTATCATGTCAAAAATGAAGACAAAATGAATTAGTCTTAATAATAATACATCAACATATATTTTTTCCTTTATAAATCAATTGTGATCGTATAAGCAAACTTCACACAAATATCAACATATTTGCCATTAGTGCTCATTTACTAATTACTAAAAGTAATATCAAGGTTCTGAAAATAAAGAACCCCCACATTTTTAAATATGTCAACGTACAACGCATTCCTTCTAAGTTTGCAACACAGGGCACCAAAAATTAATTTACTAAAGCAAAAGGATTGCAAGACAACAACCCCACAAGTTAATGAGATTTCTCAACCTACAATTATGGAAAACCACGACCCTTATTAGACGACTGTAAAACTAAAAACTGTCGTATTTTTAAAAACTAAGAAATATCACGACGGTTCCTTCTAAAACGGTCGAAGTTTAAAACACGCTAGACAAAATTACGACGCTACCTTCTAAAACACCGTCGTGCTTGAAAGGCGCTGGACAAAATTTTACTTAAGTTCAAAAGTTCACACCAGCTCGCTCTCTCTCTAACATTCTCTCTCGCGACCTTTTCAGAAAACCCTCCCTCTCTCTCAACTCCCTTTCTCATCTCTGAAACAGCATCTCCATGCCACCGTCTTGGTCATTGAGCTTGTTATCTAGGTCACAGATCTCACCGTCCAGTTCACTGAGGTGGCCATATCCTTGCTTCCATGTCACTGAGGTCGCCAAAAGTATCGCCTCCACGATTTTCACGAGGAGCAAGAAGCCCTTGCCAACCGCATGAACAACATCAAGCGCAATCTCCTCCCTCACGTCGTCGAGGTCAGCAACCATCTCCTTGCGCAGTCGTGGTCAATGAGGGTTTTAGTAAGAGATTTGGGGCTTTTGCTATTTCAAATCCCTAGTATCCTTTTACTGTTTAGATTTGATTTTCAGTAGTTTTCAAGTATCATACAACTCATACTCTCTCCACTTCTTTGATTGATTGATTGATTTTAATTATTTACATGTTATATTTTTTTTCCATTTGATTCTAAGATGTGGCTCTGTTTGCGTTTCATGCTTTTGATTAATTTACAAGGAAAATTTGGCTATTTGATTACTTGTAAATTTGCAGGGGATTTGGGCCGAACCTTTGATTCAAACAAGACACTGGGCTCTCCATGTAACATCCAATCAATTCTAACTTTTGAAACAGATCAATCCGTAGTGTTTGCTAGTCATGTCCATGCCTGCGAACGCTTTGTAAGTGCTCAAAATAAACCTTTTGAAACAGATCAATCCCTTTTATGCAATGCTTTAATGTTCAATAAATCAGTTGTTGCTCTATTTGCCTTGTATATTAATCATAAGTTACAGTTCCTGATACCATGTCAGTTGTTGATCATATGATTTAGCATGACAGATGCCAATCAGTGTGAAGGTAGCTAGTTCAAGGGAAGGGGGCTTGAGGAAATAGTCTCAAGAAGAGTTTATCAGCAAGAACTACATTTGATGCATCTGAAGGGTGAGTGAAGTTTGCATTTCTCCAATTCTATGGTTGTGTTGTGTTTCTCTTATTGGTAGGTAGGTGGATTTTAGATTTCTAGTTTGTTTTTTTGTTTTTAAGGAATGTAAGTGTTTGTAACTCTTTGATGAGATCAGAATAACGGATGCTTCTTGATTACCTGTCTAGGTCCATTCTTTTTTGCAATTATTTAGTGTTGGATAATATGTTGTTGTTGGACAAAAGACCAAGCACTTGATATTTTACCCGTAGCCCATCTTGTCTCTTATATGTTTTAAGCAACAAATGCAACAGCCAAAATGAAATGCATGCTCTCATATGTCATTGTTGTTGGCAAGTATAGAGCCATCTAGTGCATATTCAAGATATGCGAAAGTAAGTACCTTGCTTGGTTGCTTAAATTAATGAATTTGACTTCCTAATGAGATGCATGCTAATTTCTCAACAATCCATGCTCAAATGGAAACATTTGGTCTTTTCTCCATGTTTACAAATATCCAAAAATAGCCTATTTGAGTTGCTGATTGCAGGTAGTCGCTAATATACCCTTTAATATAAGTACAAATGTAGTCAGACAACTTCTTCCAATGGGTGAAATCTTTTCTGAAGTAGTACTCTTACTCCAGGTTGGCATTATTCTATTGTTCTATGATTCTCATTGTTTCAAGTTAAGTAATTATATTATGTAGCCCTGTATTAATAATCCTTTCATTATTGGTAATGTTATATGGATTGTATATCTCACTATTACATTATTTTGGCTTGTTAAGCAATTTCCTATGCCATGGAAGTGGTTCGAACGAAGCTACTCCTAGCTTGGGGGAAGTAGTGTTGGTTCAAGCTGCTGTTAGTGGTAAAAGTGGAAGAAATGCAAAGGAAAATTGGTGATGATGAAGGCATAGCTTTGTATGCATATGGAGAACTTGACTTGAAGGATAATTAGGTATAGGAATTTTGGTGTATTATTGTAATTAGGCTTGTAGCTTGCAGCTTGCAGCTAGCAGCCCTAGAGTACTTTTATTTTTTAGATTTTATTTTGTTCTATTGTACTCTTGATATTCTATTTATGAAAAAAAAAAAAAACAATTTTTGAGTATATATATGTATGGCGTGGGTAATAGCATATTTAGTATATATTTCTTATACCATTGGAAACAAGAAAAAAAAGAAGCTAAAATGTCAAATTACGATGTCAGTGTAACAGTTAATAGACGATGGTTTAATTGAAAAAACCGTCGTTTTAGAGTTAATAGACGACGGTTTTTTCAAAAAATCTGACATAACCGTCGTCTATTATACGTAATAGACGACGGTTTTTAGAAAAAGCGTCGTCTTTACAAATAATAGACGACGGTGAATAACCGTCGTAGTTTGGAAATTGAAAAGACGGCAGTCGATTTAACGACGGTTTTCAAAAGAAAAAGACGACGGTTTTTCCCCGTCGTCTATTTCAATTTTTGTAGTAGTGACCTAAAACCCACATGCAGGTTATACGAAAATATCTAATCACAAACACCAACAAAACCCAGTTCACAAATTCATCAGTTCAACAAACAACAAACAAAAGGAGAATTTTTCAAAAGCTTTCGAGATATGAACATCTAAAAAGAATTAGAGCAAAATCGGAGAAATAAAATCACAACAGGATCATTGAAGTTTCTGCCAGACCCTTATTGAATGGACTTGGATTGGAAGCTTGATGCCTCAATTTTCCACTTTGGGAGCCTTCCTTTATTCCACTGTTTAAATTAAAACCTGCAATTGCAATTGGAAATTAATAACCCAAAACTAAAATGGTTTGATGATAATTGCAAATGTAAATGATAGCAAGAGACAATGAAGCTTTTCACTTACATGATCGGTCTATGCTTAATAGTGAATTGGAGGTGGGGGAGATGCATAAATGTAAACCGGTGGTGGTGGTGACTTCACAAGAGGTGGAGGGGACTCGTAGATGTATGGCCATCATGAGCTCGGTGGTGAAGCTGGAGTCGCAGCACCTGGCGTAGATAGCGAAGCAGGTGCAGAAGCTGACGACGTTGGATTTGGCCACGGCGTTCATTCTGGAGCCAAGGGTGCTGACGCTGTTACGGCGGCAGCGGAGGAGGAGAGCTTGAGCGGATGGGGTTACGGGTGGGTTCTGCGGGTTGGAAGATGGGGGGTGGGTTGCAGGTTGGGTTTGGATTTGGGTTTTGAGGGGGTGGACTAAGGAGGAGGGGGAATGGGTTGCAGGAGAGAGGGAGAGACAGAGAGGAAGAGCTGAGGAGAGAGGAATTTGGATTTGGATTTTTTATTTTTAAGTTTATTTATTTATTTT